ACTGAGTTACATGATGTTACAGTGCAAGTTCTCATATGTCCTGAGTCTTAATTGACCTTGGAAGGCTAGGGCCAAAATGTTGGCTTTCCTTGAGGCCTTCCTTGTTCCCTGATTTTGGTCTGCAAACTTAGGTTATTAACCATCCAGAAGACATGCTTATTGTTATTATCATACAACTTAGACTCTTAAGCTTAACTTCACTGCCTGTCTGAATATCAAACATCTTAGACAGAACATGGAACAGGTATTTTTCATCAAGTATTGATATGTTGAACTTTAAGTCCCTACAGAATATGATAAAAAAATTTAAAATTAGAATATTTTTAAAAATATGCATAAAGAATTACATACTTCTTATGTTTACACATAAGTCCAGATATCTAACCATATACAACCTTGAAGCAGGACAGTCCCACAGTATTCCTTTTCCTGTCTCTTGCTTTCATTCACCACCCCCTTCTTTTTGAACATCCACCTACCCAAGAGACAGCAACTGGCATGTCATCACAAGCAGCCCGTATTCAAAAGACCAGAATGACAGGCACTCCAAGCATGAAACTACTATTATAGATTACCATCTTCAATGCAGTTGTTTAGTTCACAGGTATCAGTATATATAGTTAGTCAGGGTGAGAATTCTTCCAATTAACTGCTAGATTCAAAAATCTTCTGGAGATTCTCAGGATCATTGCCTTGCCTATCTTCTACTTATTTCAGTTTTCAAATGTTTTTAATGGTACTATTTTGAGGACAATAGGCACCACGCTGAGGTTTGAGCCACAGATTTCTGAGCATTGACTGCAGAATAATCCTGGACTGTGGAGAAGGAGCTCTTTTTGGCTACCTTAGACTGCCTCCAGGGCAGGTCTGGTACAGCTTCTGGTATCCTGGACTGGATGATGTTAACATTGTTTGACTTAGGTGTCCTGGCATAGCATCTGCTTTTAAATCTAGAGATGGGATAGCTGATGAATGGAGAATGTCTTCAGATGAAATTAGTATACATACTGATATTTCTATTGAAAGAATAACTCAATTGTCAACTTCAAGTAGTCAGAGTTCACCAGGTTCCAAATCTGTTGTAGGTACTGTATGTGAGTCCAAATTTAGTTCTTCATAATCTGTATAATCATAACTTCAATATCATTGATATCCTTTGGTTTTGATTATAAATAAAAGATTATTAACTTCATCTATTATGTATAAAATTTGAATAGATGGTAATGCAATTATGATTAAGATAATAGCAGGTAAGACTGCTCAAATAGTTTCAAATTCTTGAGCATCTGTTGTACTAGTACGAGTTAGTTTTGTAGCTAATGTAAGTAAAATAAGATAAAGTACTACTGTACTAATTAAGAATGCAATTAATAACAATATGGTCATGAAAGTGAAGAAGTTTTTCTATAATAAGGAAAGTAGCACCTTGAAAACCCAGTTGGTAAGGATAAGCCATAAGGATATACAGGAATTTAACCAGTAATTTAACTTTGACAAAGTTATATGATAATTTTGTTAATATCTATCTACTAAAGTAGAGAAAGTCGTAAAGGTTCCCAGACATGCACAGTTCCCAGACAGCGCCCTGCCTTGTCCTTACTGAATGCAAACTCATTGGCTTTCTTTCCTAGTTGTGTGGCATGCCTCTGTAAGTTGTTACGGCTTCAGGTCCCACATCAGTAATGAAGCTTATGGAACGTATTATCCTCAACAAATTTGCGTCGGCAAGCTTATATTTCACGATACAGTTAGTCAAGCTTAGTCATTCATATTTAAAATCGTTTATAGTTTCTCTTTTAATATTTTATCAGTTTCTGTTGCTCTTATTTTTTCAAGCCCACTTCTGAAAGAGAAAATGAAATGCATAACAAAGCAACAGCGTTTCCTTTCTCCACTAAACAAATAAATCAAGGCACAGCTAGCTTTGTGTATGTGTGTATGGAAGAATTTTTATTTTCTAGAAAAAGAAGACTGGAACTTCAAGTAATTTGTTTATTTAAAAAACTAATGAATGCTTTACCATGGCTCTCTGAATGAAGTGCTTCATTGGATGAAGGGGACATTGGCAAATCTGTGAAGTCAGGCAGCCTTTTGCCAAGTGAAGCATGTTAATTCTTTTAATCTATAATTTAATTGTTCCCTTGGCTCAGTAAAACACTTGAGAAGGCTCTGAGACCCTTCCACTAAGTGTGCTTGCATGTGTTCTAGAAGGTGACACCACTGAGTGATATCACTCTGATTTGTCTCTAAAATACACAAACAGGAAAAAAAAAAAAAAAAAAAGGTCTGGAATAAACAAGATAGCTATCTTTTATGCAATTATATTTTCATGGACTGTTCATTTCTGATTCTTTCAATGATAGAAGGCATTCTAAACTGATATTCTTGCTTTATGAAGAATGATTTATAAATCTCTATTTCACAGATTGAGAATGTAATGATGGGGAAGACACATGTTACCAGGAAATTTAGAGTTGATATAATTCTAAATTTTACAGACTGTCATTCCAGAAGAAAGAATGAAGTGGTCTCTGTCACATTCTGCATGGCTCTCAGTGTGCTCTTAATTTTACAGGCTTAATTATAGTGAGAATGTATGCCCAACTATGTGCATTGTGAAATATTTTGATTCATTAAATCATAAGCCATTAAGCCATAAAAATGAAAATGCCACTTTACTGAAAATTCAAGTGGATTCTGTAAATCATAAAGTAAAAGGAGGAAAATATGAATGAGTTTTAGTAACTAAGTATTAAGGTTGTAAAATTCCTTTTAAAAAACTTGGTTTAGCTCTCTGATTTCTAAAATACAATTTGGAGTACCTCAAATTGATTGGGAGTTGTTGTCTTAAATTGGACCTCTCATACAAGAAAAGATGGTGGTTGATAGTCTTAACCATGCTAATTATTTTTGAAGAAAGGAAGATTAGTTTGGATGGATATGTTGCTAAGTTTGTAAAATGGTCCTCATCTAAACATACTTATTCATATGCTAAGGTAGCTTATATTTAAGGAGAAATGCAATATTAATGATGATACAAGCATGGAATGTCTTTTTCAAGATTTCTTATTTCACAACTACAAATTAATGCAATATTTTAAAGTTAGGTTATCAACAAAACTACTTTAGCAAAGCATGCTAAAAAGTATGTAGCAGTCTCACTGTGCCCTGGTTACCATCTTGTTTGAGTCTGGTGAGATAGAATACCCACACCATTACTTGCAAATCAAGAGATAAGGGATTAGAGAAGCCCAGGATCTCTTGCAAACCCGTCTCTCAAAGCTTAGGAAAACTGCTCAACTGAGCATGTCCACCGCACCACAGCTGAGGAATCTGGAAAGCAGCTGGCTCTTGGTTTTACACCTCAGGGCACTGTAGTTGCTGGGCAAAAGCAAAGAAAGAGATCCCATTCTAGGAGGCCTGCAGCAGAGCCCGTGCTGTGCCAGCCAGTGCCTCTCGGTCTTAAGGCACAAAACTCCAGGCACGTTTTACATTCTTGAGGACTTCAAGCAAAAAGGTAAGAGAACTGGTATTCAGTGGCCAACTACAGAAATGTCTTGCGAAGAGCATAATGCTAGGTCAAGTGGATTGTTTATAGTTTCATAACAAACCCTCTGACTCTAGTCAAATAAGTTATCATACTTTTCAACAAATGAAGTGTTTAATCCCAGCAGTATGGCAAATGACATGTAATCAGAATATGTGCCATGAAGCTTTATCACAAAAATATTCCATTCTGTATCACTGTGGAGAAATAGGGCTTTATTTTTCAGGATCTCACCACTGAGAAGATAGTGAAATATGAACAGTTATGTCACTAACTTAAATCTCTCTAAAAACAGTTTTAAATGTTCGAAGTGTAACTTTTATTGGTAAAATACCCAAGTGATTCAGGAAGACATTTTACCAATTACAGTTCATGAAAGTGGTTAATTACGACAAAGATAATAAGAATCTTGTTTGTATTTAATATAGTATTGACTTGAGAACAAAGGAACATGGAATTGGTTCTTCCTAAAGAAAGAATTGAATCATTCTTAGAGAAAAAAATAATAAAGCTAATGTGCTTGAGTAATATCTTTTAAGATTTGATAAAATTCACAAAAAGAAAATTACGCTTTTAGATGGGTCAAGCAACTATAATCTTTTCTGATTTTTACGTAGAATAGATAATGCTGGGTATCAATCCTACCAAGATCATTACAAATATATTAAGCTGTACTGGAAATCACAGACCTGATATCTCTGAAATAATAGCATTGGAAGTAAAGAAACAACTGCAAAAAGTTATAGAAGAAATCAGATCAGAAATAATTTCTGAATGAAAAATCTAGTGATCACTATAATCAAAGAAGTACTAAGTGCTTCAAAAGAATACACTGATAAAAAATAGAGGAGAATATAAAAATGATGGAACCCCTGAATAAGCAATATAGGAAAGAAATAGAATGTATGAAACAGATTCAAAGTGATATACAGAAAATTAAAACCTCAATCGCAAACTGGCAAAACCATTTGAAATAAAGTGAAAATAGACTTTCTGACCTTAAAGACACCATTGCAGCTAGCGAAAAAGTAAGAAAAGATCTTTTTAAAACAACTAGGATGCAGGAAAAAAATAATTCAATACCTGCAAGACGATGCAAAGATAAACAATGTGAGACTAATAGGCATCGATAAGAAGGAAGGATTCAATACAAATTATATAAAAAGAATATGGGCAGAAGTAATAGCAGAAAACTTCCCAAATATGGGGCAACAATCTGACAGTCAGTAACCAAAGCATATAGAACTCCAAATAACATCAACCCAATTAAAACCACACCCAAAGACATTCGCATGAGATTCTCTGTGGCAGTCCTCTTATCACTGTCCATAATGCAAATATCTTCTATTTCCTATTAGTATAGCATAAGATGTTTCTTTAAGCAGTAGTTTGAACTATCTTGGCCTGTGTTAGACGAAAATAATCATCTCATTGATGATATATTGTGTGAATTTGATAGCATAGTCAAAGTGGTGACCATGTAATGATTATAGTTGATCTCTAAAGTATTTCCATCAATGTTGTTAATTTATCTTGACATGAAAAAAGCCACGGAGAGCAGTATATGCACAGCCGTGCAGCTGGGTATTACTTATGAGCACAATGAACAAGGACAAGGAAACTACTATTTCCTTAGTATCAGTGAAGAATAGTTTCTGCCCCTAATCAAAGAATCTAAAATGTGTTTTGAAAGAGTCCGAGGTAGAGTCCTAGTCTGAGGCTCCACTGGATTACAACTGAGCTCTTCCATCTGGATGATGCCTTAAAGCCTAATTCCATTCTTTGGAATAGAGCATTTAGCATAAACCAACCCCGCTCACCACAGTCTTAGGGGAGCCATCGTTCCTATTTTTCACCAGCCACATTTTTCTCAGTGGAAATCCTGTGAGCTACAGGCTGCCTCAGAGCTAAGATTGAGCAATGTGTATTTGCTGAAAACTGGGCAATTGGTACCACTGATTCTTAGACTGTTGTTTTCAACCTTGATATTGCAGCTTTTTATTTCATCTGTCCATGTGTGTGGGGTGGGAAGGACTTGGACAAACTCATCATTCCTTGTACATAGATGTTCACAAATACAAAATATTATGTGGTACATACATATAGTGGAAGATTACTCACTCATAAATGACAATAAAATCACATCATGGGTAAGAAAATTGATGAGATCATAGACTGTGATGTTAAAAGAAAGAAGCCAGACTCGAAAATATCACATTTTCTCTTATATATGAAATCCAAAATTAAATAAATACATGAATTGAAAAAGGTGAAATGGAGGCTGGGGAGATAGCTCAGCAACATAAGCACCTGCCTGCCAAGCGCAAGGTCCTGAATTCAATCCCCAGAAATAAATAAATAAATAAATATAAATTAATTAATTAAATTAAATAAAAAGATGATGTGAAAAATAGAAAGAAGGGTGCTAGAAAATAAGAAGAGGATGAGGAAAAGAAATTGACAATTGGAAAAGGGTGGTGGGATAAAATTGATCCAAGTATGTCACATGTACTAGTAAGCCAAAATAAAACTGTTCTGCATGAACAATATGCATTAATTTGAAACAATGGAGCAGGTCCAGATGTGACCTCAAAGGTTAAGGCCTACATGAACTTTTTCCCACCTTTCCACCAAGGGTGACAGCTTTTGCCCACTTACACTCTTAGCAAATGTACCTGTGTGAGTGCTGGCAGGCAACAAGTCCAATCGAGTTGTGGTATCCCACTTTCTTGTGAGGCTGGGGTCCAAGCCTAGCTCACTGACACACAGACTCAACACCCACTAGCAAAAGTAAGATAAATGAGTTTCTGAGAATCTGCATGCTAAATCCTACTTCACCTGAAATTCATTTCAACCCCCTACTATTGCCAAGATACTTAAAATATACAGTAGAGAAGCAAGACTTTTAGATACTGGGGTAAAGATTGCTGTTTGTCGTGAAATATCCATTTTCCATCCTTAGAATCCCTGAGCTTTGTGAGTGTCCCTTGCCACATTGCCCTACCCAGCTGAGTTCCCAGCCTCCCTCAGAGCAGCCTACAATCAGGGTGACTGATGGAACCAGAGGGGAAGTGAGCTGCCTGCCTCTGGGTCATTGCTGTGAACCGGAAGCTGCTCATCCTTTTCTTTTCTTTCTTTTTTCAAACTTAAAAGGGACTTATTTGTAATTTCCTATATGTATGCATAGTCTTGTAAATACAAGACAATAAATGTATCAAGAGACAATTTCTGTTAAAGTTGTCATTGTGTTTCACTTCAAGTACTGCACAAATTAAAATCTGACAAAGGATTTACATTTGGTTATCTGAACTCTCCATCTCAGACTTCTGTGTTAATGTGGTGGATAACTCCATTTCCATGGGCATCACCAACAAGGTCTGTCTTTTATGGCTTCTAGGACTTTTGTTAACTAGTGTGCTCACCCTCACTCTTTCTCTTCTTCCTCAAGTCAAAGATGTAATAAGTATCTCATGTGGACCCAGAGAAAAAGTCTGAACCTTCTGCTTGCCCTGGATTTGCTCAAATCTATGTTTCTTTGCAGTTTATCCTGTACCTCACACAGTGCATCAAGCAGTACTGAAATCTATTTAACTATTAATGACCTGGTGTAACAAATGTTACTATGACAAAACTCTAATGTGTAATGATAAACCAATATTCCAACCACAGGCATCAGTGGGATGGGGCAAAACAAACTGGAGCTTTTAGCTTAGACATTTTTGAGTATATGCTAATGTTAGTATCTAAATTTATTTTCATTTTATCCCGATATTTTAACTAGACAATTTGCATTATTTTTCTTATTGTTTTCTTATACCTTTACCTATTTCATTACATATATATGCATATATATCATATATATTTTATAAGGAAAGAAAATGATACATATAATTTTATATTATGGGTGATATACATGTTAGTTGTAAAATGCAACAAGAGAATGAGCACTCATGAAACTTTCATCTAAACTAATAAATAGAATGTTGCCAATTACTTATATCTACTTATAGTTTTCCAAATTGGATGAATTTGGAAAATGGACAGATTTATCCACTAGTTTTACTGCGAGCTCAAAAGGGTCATGGTCCTAGATTTGAAAAAAATGGATCAAAAGCATACCAGCATCACTTGTACATCTCACATACAGGTCAGCGATGACACTGTGTTGGCCCTGAAGCGTTCAATGTGGCAGGTCTCATTTTCCTCACCTGCACCGTACTACGTGAAGTACTCCACTGCAGGCCATGGATCAGCCACAAAGCTTGTGTGAGAAAATGTGGGTGGAAGCTCGCTGCCTACAACCTACCTACAGAGAACCTGCAGCATTGACAAGAGAAGGAGAGAGCTCGGAGGAGAGAAGACTATAAATAATGGATCAGGGGGACAGTTTTTCACTCAGTGCTCAGGAAGTGTTGAGTGAGATCCCCCCAAGTTTGACTGGCATTCTGTCCTTGAGTCAGCAGCTGAGGGTTGGCGAAGGGCTGCTGCTAAAGATAGATTCTACTGCCTTGTAGTCTTTTAATCTGTGATGGAGCAATGGGATTCAATACTTTGATGCATATGAAATGCTGAGAATAATAATGCCTTGGCTAATGGAAGCATTATCTACATGTTTGCTAAAATTGTTATACTTGGGGAGACTGCATTGTCATACATACAAATTATTCCTTCAGATGAACGTTATCAAATTGTAAACTTATTCCTTTATTTACATGGAATCATTAGAATTTCAGGCTCTAGGATGTGCTTCCATGGAGCGTCTTACACGCTCGCGACTCAGTTTGAGAATTCCAAATTTTCTGAAAAGTTTTCTCACTACAAAAGCATCTAAATTGCTCTTCCCTCTGGAATGATGAATATTCCAGTAGTCAGAAAGACAACAGATTGTTAAATAAATATTGTGAATCAACATTCATTGAATTTTGGTTATGATGCCAATACCTGGCTGCTGAATAGAATACTCTGGAAGAAATTTATAAATCTATTCGATTCCTGAGTCCACATAAAGAATGTCAACCAGTAGAGCTATTGTTCATTTGTTTTAGTTTATGTCAAATTTAACCTGCAATTTAATAAACTACTGTATAAATTATAAATGATAGTTGAGGTAGACTAATTGATGATCAGCTTGAACAGGAGCACCCAGCTGAACTGTGCCCACAAGGTTCTGGGCATGCTCCAGGGGGAGCTGTGCTGTGGCTGGCTTTCCTGATACACACTCAATGGGGTCCTACCTTATCCGCAGCTCGCTGGCTCCAGTGCAGATCCCTCAGCCTGCTGGAACAGATTTTTTTACTGTGCCATGCAGGCTTTCTAGCTTCCATTGATGGCCCTTGGGCCTTGCTAGTGCAGATTCTCCATGGGACTTGTGGGAGACATTGTCTTGGGCTCCAGACCCTTGGCTGAATTCTTCAGCTCTCTAGTGCATGAAGAACTCTCCTGCATTCTTCTTCATTTGACTTTTTGGGTAAATATACTATAATCCTATAAATTTACATGTCTTCAATTATATCTACTTCCTTGCAAACCTTGACTACAACTGTTAAAATACCAATTATAAAAGCATACCTTTTCATGAATATGTAATATTCTAATGGACTAAATAATTTATATCATTTTCATTGAACATTTAAGTTGCTTATATTCTGTCGCAAGAATGTCTTTAAGTGAATTTCTATATTTAAAGTTTTATTTACTGACAGAAGATAGGATTTTTTTAAAAAAATTGATATTGTTGAAGTTTTTTTCCTGGTTTTTCTGTTTTATTTTTTCTAGATTTCTTTATAAATAGCAGTCACTCCATTTTTAAACTATCAACATAGTTGTTAAAATATAAGTACAGCCCCATAAGTCAGGAACTCTCTTCTTTTCATTGTACTTTATAGAGTGTTATTTGGAATATGAGAGTTCCCAATAATTCTGATTTGTATACTTTGGGGTCATTACTAAGTAAACTGAAGCTCACTGCACACGTCACTGCACCAGCACAGCAGACTGTATAACTCACGTGTAACAAGCAGACGGTATATACGGCACAGTTGCTCTGGTGAAAGAGAGGTTTCTCATCTCAGGCACAACGGAGTAGGACTGATGGACATTTCATCGTGCCGCTCAGAACAGCTCATTATTTGTAACTTATGGATGATCTATTTTGGAATTTCTCATGTAAGATTTTTGGACTACAGTGGACTGTGGGCAACTGAAACCACAGACAGCAAAACAGCAGGCAAGTGAGGCTATTGTGCATATTAAAATATATCTTAGAAAGAAAGACTGAGAGAAAGCATGGAGTGGCTGTCCCGCAAGGGGTTTAAGAACTGCAGTTTTACTTCTGAATCTTCTTTCATTCCCTTTAGCTCTCCGTAGACACACAAAAACACTGTCCTGTTTTTACTTTCAAAATAACTCAGGTTTTCCTACCAAATCTTCTTACCCTGAGTAGTGAAGGCAACAATCCCTGAAGCAGTCTTGATGGTCCCTAGACTCAGGCAACCCATCTACCTGCTAATATTAACCTTCTAAATGGCAAGATCAGGGCCATGGTTGTAGTTTTTGAAGCACAACACCTGCCTGGCAAGCACAAGGTCCTGAGTTTGATTCCCAGTACCAAAATTCATAATAATAACAACAATAACAATAAATGGCAAGACCATGACTCTTGCCCAAGCATGAAACAAGCACTGTTATGGTTTGTGTCTAGGTGTTACACAAAGCCTCATACAGTCATGGGGTGGCTTCTAGAGTTTGTGATTAATTCCTGATCTAATGCTGAGATTATAGGAGTGAGTGCTGCTGGGATTATGGGTGTGAGTGCTGCTGGGATTATGGGTGTGAGTGCTACACCTGCCCTGGGGTGGATAGCCAGAATGCAATAGAAGGAAGGGAGTGAGGCTGGCCTTTGCCTCTGCCCCTGCTGCTGCTACTCCCATTTTGTTTTGCTGTCTTGCTGTTTCCCGCCACCATGAACTGCTGCCCTCTACCATGTGCCATGCTGCCTTAGAACCAACCAAGTATGGACTGAAGCCTCCACAAACTGTGAGCCAAATAAACCTTTTCTTCTTACTTTTGGGTGTCTGGCATTTTCTCCCACCAAAGATAGAAAAGTAACTGAGACAAGCATCACAGTAATAAAATTAATGCCTGGGAGAATTAGTAAACTAATAAAAGCTATTCAACAGAATGAAGTCTATATGTACATCATATATATGTATTTCATATAAAAAATCAGCAACACAAAGCTGAAGTTGCTGACAGAAAACTGGTTAATGTCATATCCTACAATAGATTTATAATGTTTGGATTCATTTTTCTTCAGGAAAGAAATAAATTTTACCTCAAAAAACCAAAACTTATTTTCATATCCATCACTTTTCGCCAAACTAACTTCTGCTTCATCCTGGCTCAATATGGCTCAGTCAATGGAGAGGCAAGGGGCCTGCTCTTACACAACAGGTACGCACATCGCTTTACAGAAAAGATGCTGTCACCACTTCTCATCAAACCCCTTGTAATTACTTTTATCGCTATTTTAGATTTTACCATTGGTCTATGCCATAGTTCTACTCCCATGTCCGACTTAATTATTCTAGACTATACCTTCCATTCATAACTGGTCTATTTTTGTCGTTTCCTGCATAATTTATCATTTTTTCTGCATGTGCTACTCCAAAATTCCTCTGAGATAATTCAGCTAACTTGTTCAGTAGCTGATTGCCACACAGTAGCAAATTGATATATCATCCTACAGTCAAGGAATCTACACTCCAAATTGTCTTCCCTTTCCTCTACAAAGTTACTATTCCTAATGTCCGTATCCATGGACTTTTTTCTGCCCCTGCTGGATGCCATCTGTAATTGCACCAGCCTACAGTAACCCCTGCAGGGTTACTGTACCATTGTACTTTTGCCTGTTTCTTTGAATGCCTAGCAGATAGCTATCACCTTTTTTTTTTAATGACTGGTAACTGTCACTTTGGATGCAGCAAGGACTGCAGACGGGGACCCAACAGCTTCTTCAGTCTATGTGCTGAAGTGTTTCTAGAGTACTATTGCTATCAAATTTTCTTGATGTGGCTAAGTTTATCTCAATTTCTGATTCAAAAAGCTTTGATTTCAGAGTGATGGCTGTCATATAAATATAGATTAAATCAAGCATAAATATGCAGGTGCTGATCTATTAAAAAAATTTGTACTGTGAAGTAAACAACTTACAAAACACTGACACAGAAACCTCTAGTGGAAAGCAGACTAGTTATAATCCTGATGTTTATTAGACTGCTATTCCCTTAATTCCTTTATTTATTAGTGCTTTGTAACTTTTTGTTTTCTAAAAATGAAGAGCTAGGGCTGGGGAAATGGCTCAGCAGCATAAGCATCTGTCTGGTAAGCACAAGGTCCAGAGTCTGATCCTCAATAGCACATACCTACCTGGCCCCAGAGCCCCAAGGGTGCCATGCAGGCCCCAAAACCCAAGGAGGTGGTGCATGCTTGTAATCCCAGCACTGAGGAGGCTAAGACAGGAGGATCACTATGAGTCCAAACTACATAGTGAGACCCTGTATCAAAAGAATAAAAAATTAAAAACAATTTTTAAAAGAATGTATAGGTAAAATTTATACATCAGTATAAGGCTATACCTTTTAAAAGGAGAACAAGAGGAAATACACTTCCACATATTAAAATATTACCATAGATCAATTTCAAATACTCACCTATTATTATGTTTCAACTTGTAGCAGTCACAGAAAAATGCCTTATAAACTAGATCCTAAAATGTTCAAATACTTGCAAATGGAAGTAGAAAATATGATATGAGTGAGAAATCAAATGCCATCCTACCATATCAATTTTATGTTGATATTTTCATTATCTTGTTGATAACTCCTAGAAATTAGCATGGTACAAGAGCTAGTAAGAAAGTTATTTTTTGATTTAAACTTTCTTTTTGTGTGTGTGATACGGGTCTTGCTACCCAGTTCTGACTCCTAGGGAGCCTCCTGTCACCACACCCAGTTTCAGGGCTGGTACAGCATGTAGTACCAGGGATCGCACTTACCAGGCAGGTACTTAGACTGCTGAGCTATCTCCCCAGCGAGCCCTAAACTATGGTTTCTTTATCTTTTGTAAAAATGTCCCATGAGGTAAATGCATCCTATCATTTTCTGGTAGAAACACAATGCTAGGTCTATGTAGCATCAAGTTGTTCACTATAAGTTCAATATAGGTGATTAGAAATGAAGTGATAGGAGTTCCCAGTGTGAACCGATCACCCCACCAGTCATCTAGCGACCTCATAGAGTGAGAAAGCACTTCATCCCCATCAGCCCCAGAAAGCTGATGGAATTGCCTGATCATTATATAGGCTGGCAAGCATAGTATAGAGTGAAAATAAGACACTCTTTACCTATGTCTTCCTTTTGTCGCCAGATCTTCCTTCTCTTTATTGTGAAGATTGAAAGTAGATTAAAGCAAAATATTTATAATTTGAAGTAATAAAAATTAAAATTATTTGTTTACCATTAACTATGACATTAGAGAAGTCCACAATATTATCCTTTTAATGTTTCTCATTGAAACAAGAACCAATAATTTGGAATGAATTTCTAAGTGTATAATAAATTTTGAATGGGAAAAACAATTCCTTAAAGCTAAGATTTGGTGGCCCACTGGTACAGATAAGGATGTGTTTGAAAACTTGATACTAGGAAAAAAACTAAAGACTACCATTTTCTGTACAAAGTAGGACAGAAAAAATCTAAATGAGCAACAACAACAGTATGGACTTGGAAGGACATGCCGTGGTAGAAAAATAATTAACATTGTGAAACAGAATCAGTGTGTAAGGAGCCAGGCATGGTGGCGCACACCTGTAATAGCAGCAGCACTCATGGGGGCTGAGGCGGAGGATCACTGAGAGTGTAAGGACGGCCTAGACTGCACAATGATTTCAAGGCTATAATAACTATAGTGTAATATTCTGTATTAAAAGTAAATCAATGTATAAAGTATATTCAGGAGCTAATAAAAAACTATAATTGTGGAATACTCCATGTTATGGTTTATGTCTTGTTTTCTCCCCAAAGCTTCATGCAGCAATGGGGTGGGCTTCTAGATTTTGTGATTAACTCATGATCTAGTGGAATTATGGGTGTGAGAGTGCTGCTGTGATTGTGAGTGTGAGTGCTACACCTGGCCTGGGGCAGATAGCCTGAATGCAACTTAAGAGAGTCAGACTTGCCATTGTTGCCATTACACCCATTAGCTCTTGCTCTCTTACTCTTTGCCAGCACCATGGAAGGTTGCTCTGTGCCATGTGCCACTCAACCTTGGAGCCAGCTGAGTATGGACTGAAACCCTACACTGACTATGAGCTAAATAATCCTTCCTTCCTTCACTTTGGGTGCCAGCAACAAAAGAAAAGTAACTGAGAAACTCCATATAGGATACTAATCTTCTGAAACTAGCTTAACTCAATATCTTATTTCCTGGTAATATTTCAATTGGAAAAATTGTCAAATAACTCTTAATATTTAATATGTACTATATATGTAATAAACAATAAGGAAAAGGCATGGGCTCGAACTCCACAATTAATTGGAATACACACATTAATTGGAACATAATCAATATTCTAATATATTCATAAGTTCAAATTGACCAATTTTGGTTTCTAGTAATTTGTCATGTTTTTCATTTTTTTTACATTTCAATCAAAAGTAATTATGAAAATATTTAAATATTCCTCGTCTACTTAATCGAGTCTTAGAACTGGCAATCAGAAACTATAACTTTTTGAAAGCACCTAGATAATTCTGATGACAGTGGTCTAAAATCATCCTTTAACAAAGAATGTTTGAATAAATGATCACCTCATAGAACCAGTGGCAATCTTCTAACTTAGGGTTGGTATACATGTGAGGGTCAGTGCTCACTGGAGGCACATGTAGTATGACATAGACTGCTTTAAAAGGGCATGGATTTAAAAGGTAGAGTCAGGTGAGGCATACACACAAGGATCATCTGCATACTAGGGCTCAGAAGGACCCAGCCAAAATCAAAGGCCCAGAACTCACTGTGCAAGTCCACTGAGGAAGTTGAAAGGTGTGTCCCAACGATCAACAAGTCCATGCTAATAGGCTGATGAGTCTGCTCCCAAGGCTGAGAGTTTATGCTGCAAGGGTGAAGGTCTGGGCTGGAAGCCAGGAGATCGATGTTTAAGGCAAAGAGGAAGATGGGAGCTCCTCTGAGGGAACAGAAGTGAGATATTTTTCTTCTTCCCATTTTACTCCATTAAAGCTACAAGCCCATAGGTTGGCATACTCACAGGAGGGGAGGTCTTGCATCTTGGATAAGTCACACCCAGAGCTGTGCTAAGCCAATCAACTCGGTGTTTATCCACCAAGTTGGAACAACAGTCACCTATCAGGAAGGGGATTCATTTCACAAATATCAATTGCATTTGAATGGATAGTAAACACTGCCCTATCATTTCTTCTAGTTATTCTGATAGAGAATAGTGCACAAACCTTCATAACTGATTCTCTCATGCATTAGTTAGTTTTCTAATTTTTAATATTTAAAATAATTTTAATGTATAATGATGTTCCTGGCCACATTCTGGGTTTCTGAACAAAGACAGATGACATGTTGAATTGTTGAGAAGAAACCCAGGCATGATTGTCCATTATAAGCTTCCAAAAATGTTGTAAATTGTTGTAATCTTGCATAACAGAAGAGCAGGAACATATGCCTGTTGTATCAGTGATTTGGATAACACCATATTGAATGGGATTTTCATAGTAAAAAGATTCAAAATGACAGTGGAGGAACAAACAACTAATCTCATAACCGAATAAAGCCTCAGCCACACGTGTTTCTTAACCCATCCTCAAAACACGTGACTACAAGAGCGTAATGCGATACAGTGAAGAGCATGCTTCTTTCCAGTGGCGGCGCCTTGGAGGGCAGCTAATCACATGCCTACATTGCTTCAAAAACCACAAACTTTACAATGCAGCTACAAAGCAAGACAATCTGCTGTGGGAATTTTTTATCCTTATTTTTTTCAATCATTTTTTCCTTCATGAGAACTCCTAGACCTCAAAGAGAGACCGCTAATGTACCTTTTAAAAACTTGAAGAAGAAATTGCAAGAAGCGGCATGGAACACTGTAAGGCCAGTCCATTAAATGTGCATCATCAGAGTTGGTTTTGAATCTTAGCTCTTTTCTCCCCTCATTGAGCACAGATCATTTTCATTAACTTTCAAGGAGTTGCACACGTACTTTAAGGAAAAGGAAGCTCTTCCCAAGCAATGAGGCTAGAGGAACAGGACGACATCATTGCTTTGTGGTTTTGCTTTGTTCTCATCTATAATATCACAGCACTGTAACTACTTCAGAAAGCTAAATACATTGAAATGTATTTTCATTAAAAAATGACTCAAATGATTTTCTTCAACATTTACAACTTCCAAGGCCTTATTGAATTCTTCCTACCATTTTCTAGGGATTATTAAAGAGCTAATTGAAGAAGGACCCATGATAAAATAAGCATAGTTAACTTGCCATCCTAAAATTTTGACTGACCAGTTGTTTCCATGTGGTTTTTCTTCGTCAATTCTCAAAGTTACCTTGAAAGGTGAGCAATGAGATACCATGACTTCAGTGTTCCATACGGCCCAACTTAAATTCACAGAAATTTTAAGTTCGTTGCCTTACACCAATTGTCTTGCCATGAAGAGTTCACTGAAACTTTGAGGATTATTTGTCTACTCTCCTGTGTCTGGGAATGTTGCACAGGTATTCCTTTGAGAGCAATGATAAAAGCCCTTCTTATACCATTTGCACAATTTACTGACAGCTGACAATTTAAGTTGAATAACAATAAGGATAGAGACATAAACAGACCTTATTTTGTACATGATCTAAGACAATAACAGAAAAGGGCATGGGAAAACACAATGACTATGTTCTCTAATACAAATACGAAGAGCTGCAGAGAAGATAAAGGTCATCAGGTGGCTCTGGATGAAATAAAGTCACATAAAATGATTGAGATAGAGTAACATTTGCCCTTTTTAAATCCTGAGGCAGAGAACCTTAGCCTTCTCTTTGTAAGTGTGGCTGACAATTAAAGCAAAAAGAAAATCTATGGTTCAACAAAACTCACCAAATCCACTTCATATCTGAACTGAAGCCAAAATGACTTGAGGCAGGAATTGAGAAATATTACCTTATTGCATTAAATAATACCCATTAATTACTGTGGGCTGATGAGCCTGCAATCTCCCAAATGAGTGGACAGCAATCTCCTAAATAAATGCAACAAATAGTATGATTTTAGGGCTTCAGGTGGGTTCTAATTTTCCTGATATTTTCTGGGGCTGAAAATCAAGAACTTCTGTGGGTGGGCCGCATTTCTTAGCTTTTCAAAGAAAGGAAGAGGACACTAAAGAAAATGCAAGAATCTGGGCAGAGCTTGGGAATCCCTTCAAGACTTCTCCAAGTAATATATATGTTAATTTTAGGAGACCTATGTTGTCTCCAGGAAGACCTTCACTGCAGGCATGAGAAGTCCACAGCTACAGAATCCTTTTAGTTCACTGGGGCTGGAGCCAAGCTCCTCAGCTGCAGCCTTATCTTGTGCTTTGAAGCATCCCAATCTCACAGGCCAATATAGGCCTCAGTGGGGAGCAGTGGGTCGCAGAGGTTCACTTACTATGAATTGCTGCCCATCTGGGCAAACTCCCAGGTGAACATGAAAAGCCAGTTAGTTAATATTAAATCCTGCTCAGCACCACCACATAGTGGTCTACATCACTACTTGGCTTTTGAGAAGACAAAACAGAAAATATTAGAAGTAAAATGAAAGAATAGAGGGGAATGCTAGGGAAAGAGGAAGTGAATCTGTAGAGAACTACAGAGCTTATCTTTTAAAATATAAGCACGAAGTTGGACAACACCATATATATATATATATATATATATATATATATATATATATGTATATGTAAAAAAAACAGTGGACATAAACAAGAGATTCGGTGTTGAGGACTAAAGTTTTCTGAAATCCTGAGATTCAGAGCAGGTTTAAAATCATTGGGGTGAAAGTAGTTGGTTTACATTAAAGTGTGTCAACACTAGTGTTGTTTGGACTTGGTATGTTGATGCAGGTCTGTCTTTTGATATTGATCATTATTTAATGGGAATGCTATAAGCTGTTGTCTTTTATCCATTAAGAATGCATTCCTTTTACCTGATGTGCAGATAATGATTTCCAGAGCCATTTTTGGGCACTTACAACAGAAGCAATCTCTGTTTTGCCCAGTTATCAAAACCAGACAAGACACTTACATTTCACCTTTCTTTAGGGTTCATTCCCTCACTGAAGCTTATGCCAGAGGGGAAGAAATATTGAAATTAGTTTCATACTTTCTTAATTATGTTGCTCTTTGGGTCAGGAGGACATAACCAAACACATGTGTTGATTGAACTTCTAAGCCTGGTTATGCTCAAGTGGCTGACTTTTAAGATTAGTGAAGTAGAACCCAAGCTCATTTTTATTTCTTTTTATTTAACTTAATTGGTTGTGAATTTTATATTATGCAAGGAAAAGCATTTAAAACAGCTTAATTTTTGGCATAATTTGCAAAAATCATTCTGTTTCACATTTTGGGATACTAAGATGATCTTTAAATTATGTTTCTAATTATTTCAGATTCTTTTTAAGCAAGGAATATGGAAGGGAATTTCCCCTGCACAAAATATAGTAATCATTAGCATTATATAGATGATAGTTTTAGTTTGTGTCAAACTAACCTTTTAACTTGAACATATAGCTCCTTAGCTTATTCAACAGAGAAAGTTTACAAATATTTTTAAAAGGACTAGCAGAAATGAACAAATTTGAGTATTTTTATTTCTAAGTTTTATACTTTAATATAGATTGAGAATTTGGGCTCACAGATTGGGAGATGCCAATCCAAGACTTACTAGCCCTTTGCTTTGGAGCACGTGGTGGCACATCGCAGCAGGAGTGTGGTAGAGGAAGACTGTCCAACTCAGCATTGGAGAATAAGTGTGAGAAGAGGACCAAGCCCCCACAGCACCCTTGAGGCCACACGCTTGGTGCCCTGGAGTCCTCTCACTGCACTTTATCTCTTAAAAATTTCCCTGCCTTCCAACAGTACCACCCCAGGGATCATGATTTCAACATATGAACCTCTGTGGGG